CTATGTTTTTTTCAGGAAAACCTCTGTCTTTCTCAAGAAAGCTACACAGCGCACGCGGAGCAAAAAAGAAAAACACCCACCAGGGCGTGTTTTTTATTTGCTCCGCGTGCGCTCCCCGACCCCTCGCTCACTCACTCACTCGCTTACCCTTGGCTCCTTGGCGGAAATAGCAATTTGAAGCAAGATCTTAGCTTTATAAAGGTTTTAAAGAGGAGAACAGAAAACACGCAGAACAAAAAAACACGCGGAGCAAAAAAAGACACTCGTTCCGTTGTGTCCCCATGGTGTCAGGCCCGGAGGGAGAATACAAGCGTTCAGCCCTTGGGTACTGCGGCTGGCAGCAAGGGGTAATCCCAAAGGGCTGCTAACATCCTTACGCCAGGCAAACGCAAGTGCCGCACCAACTTTGCAATGCACACCTTCCCGCTACTCGCAGTTGCTGCTCTGATGCGATTGCCAGTTTGTGCCCTCGTGAGATCGATTCAACTATGCCATGTGCGAATTGGAGCTGTGCGGCTGTCACGAAGAACGCTTCGAGTCTGCTAACTTTAGGGTTGCAGGCCTATTGGCTGGCAAAGTTCTCAGTGTTGACTACGCGAGACGTACAGGTAACAACTGAACAGCCGTGTGACGCTAGACAGCTGGATTGTGCACAAGTCTGGGTATTTCACATTGTCCGCCCAACAAATGAAAAAACCTTCTTCTTTTTTTTGGTGATCCACTCACGTCTTGGTCCCCCCGGTCTTCTCGCAAATGCATCCGGGGATGAAGGACTTGGCATGCATTGGATTGTCCCAAGGACATCTGCATGCCTTTCCACTCCCCAAATGGACGGAGCTGATCCTTGCAAAGGCAGGCCCGTGGCTGCGTGACAACAGGCCCTACGGCAAACTTCAGGATTGAACGCTTTCGAAGCAAAAGCAGGTGAAATGCCGAGGACACATCGCAAACAACGACTCTGAAAGCCATCCGAACGTCGACGCTTCACTGCGGAAAGGCATAGCCAGTTCAGACTGTGCATCAACTTGACACGCGAGGTGTGGCAATACTCCCCAAGCCTCGGGACCACTGTAGCACGTGCTTCCATGCATAAAGGAAAAACCCCAAAGCAGAACCGGCTGCGCTGTGATAGAGCGCTGGTTCTTCCAAGTGTCATGAACGCAGCAATAGCAACAAGTTGCGGGTGGTCCTCCTAGCAGTGAAGTTGTCTGACAAAAACCACGAAAGTTTTGAAAGGCTGGCGTGCCTTCCAAGCGAGGGTGCAGCACCACTACTGCTTGGCGGTACGGCGGGCGGCATCTCTTGTCTTTGCGGCCGTTTGCGTAGCCTGTGCTGTTCCAACCTGTAGTCAGCCACGAAGAGGATCCCCTAACTCCTTGTTGCATGATGTATGGATGACGTATGATGGCTGAGAAAAGCCATGTCCAACGCACCTGAACTTGTCCACATGCCTTCAGAGGTCTCAAAACATGCCAAGTCAAGAATGCATCCGGAGCTACTGCCTGTCAGTAGTCTATCCTCATATCCCTACCTTGTCGAAATGAAGAATCTACATTTTTCTTTTCAGATCAATATAGAAAATAATCCAATTAGATTGTATGAAATAATCCAATTAGAATATATATATATATATATCAAATTTGATAAATCTTTCATAATTTTGTTACTGTATATTCTTTGATAGCTACCTATATGCTACTCGTGAGGCATTCCATGATAGTAGACTGGCATGCCCGGGACACAACCCGTGCTTGAGAACGTAGAGAAACCTACAGGTAACGTGCATGTGCCTTCAACATTCTTGGTATACTCCAGCAAGCATTGTTGAGATTCTCCTGGTGTTGCCTGCCCGCAAACCTCAACAGCGCAACGCCGCATGCAAATATCTACATCTTTTCCGAGGATGATTTGAGGCTCATACAAGAGGCTTGGGCGGTCCATCATATACTCACCTGTAAGTCATACATACGTTGAGCTTAGAACAATAAGCAGTGTTACAGAAGCCGTGCTTGCCACTTTCACGGCTTGAGTGCCCCCCACCGATGGCAGCGATGCTGCAACATTTGCGCAGTTGTTGAGTGCCGCAAACGAAGACACGAGCCGACAGCTGCGGAAAGCCAACTACTACAGTTCTGCTTTGAGATTGTACTCGTGTCTACGAGGCGGAAGAGAGGTTCCAGCGGATGGTCCCTGAGCCTTTAATAACAGTTTGAATCAAATCCCTCCATCTAACAGGCTGTCTGAAAAGTCGCGAACCCAGTGAAACGCCGTGAAATGGCGTGTTGCGTAAAGCACGTTGGGTTCGTCCGACCAACATTTTTGGGACCACTGTGGAAAGGGGTGTCTCATACGAGTGTAATTCCCCCAATAACTGGCAAGCCGTTCAGTCAAAGCTTGCCATTGAGCAGCTCATTGCGATCGTAAGTCCCTGTCATGAGCTGTAGGAATTGTTGGGCCCCGGGATTGACTATCTAATATTAGGGAATTTGGGAAGTTGACCATGGGGATCTAGTACCGAATGTTACGTAGACGTAGACCATGGCGATCTTGAACCGAATGTTTCGTAGTGATGTTGTTCGCATTAAGATGTAATTAGGTTTCATAAGATTCGATAAGGACTTAATAAGAGTGGTGGTGGTGGGGGTTGACCTTCTCATCATCCAAAATGCGAATCATTGGAAGCATCCATCATAACTCGGGAGGTAAAGAAAAATGAGGAAATAATTTCCAGACACTACAATAATCAAAGGGTGCTGATTGAGTTGCTCTTGCTCTTACTCTTAGCCTTCTTGATTTCTATCCAGTTTCGATTTCGGACTGGTCATTTTTCTTTTCTGGAGACTACTCTTTCCGACTTTTGTTCCTTTTAGGGGCGCCGTGTACTCAATCAAGCGCATTAGTTTGCAGACATAGTACGTAATCTTGAGGAAAGGTTCATAATGAGCAACTAGTGGAACTACTTGCAGTACAGTACTGCGTAGTCCCAAGTTCCAACTGTTGTAACTGCAAGAATGAGGCCGCCGAGACGAAAAGTCAGAAACTGCACGAAGTCCAGGATCCAGACTCCACGAAGCGGACTTGTTGAAATAGGTAGCAGGCCAAAAGCCAGGGAAATGAAAAGCGAAAACAACAAAAGTACAACCCGAATAGCTGGACGTCTTTGTGACCTCCCTTGTCAAGGGGCTCTTGGATTTTGCCACTCTCTGCGGCCACGCTTGCGCTCAAACCTGGCGCGCTGCAGGAGCAACACATTTCGACTTGATAGGCCAGTCCGCCTTTTGACTTCACCTGTGGGCCTCAAATCTCAAGTGCTCTTTTCTTCCACGGGCTCATGGCTCATTTCTGCGGTGAGCTCGAGCAAGTGTAGAACTATAAAACGCGACAGGCTTTGGTTCGTTGTCCTTGCAAATCGCCGAGTTGAGTTGATGTGGACCCATCCAGGTATGTGCATGCCTCAAAGCCGCCCTTGCAAGTAGATGATTTGTTTGATCCTGGGCAAGTTTCTTTGGTTGCTTGCAACCTAAGGGTTTCTTCCAATGACAGCGTTGGAATTGCCTGCACGATGAGCCTTGGGCATACCGGCAAATTGGCTCATCTGGAGCGCTGGAAGCATGTTCTAGTCTACCGCGTCTCGTCATGCCCACCAGGGAAGTGTGCAAACTGAGTGAACGAATCAGCAGTCATCGCTTGCTACCACTGTCCCTTGTCCCCTCTTGATGCAAGATCTGGTCATCAGAGGTGCCAGCGCTGCGAGAGTGGCTACTTGCAGGAATGATACCTCACACGGGCTTTGTTTGCGGCAGGTCGCATCTGCTCTTGGCAAAATTTGCTGCTAGAAGGACTCTTGAGGCGATGACCGGATGCTGCTTTTTGATCATGTCGTGGACCAGCGGGCAGCGCAAAGCGTCCTAAAACCATTCTGCCTTCTGCGCTGCTCAGGCAGGACTTCTTGCTGGCATGTTCAGAGAAAAATAGCTGCACCGCTTCGCGTGGCCAAGCCCTTCTTTGACCCCAGGTCTGTCTGTTGCCCTACTTCCGGGATTTGGAGCGCCAGGAGGATAACAACGAATGATGTCACCTGCAATTGCGGCTCTGCTTTGATTTGTCGAAGAGTTGCGGGCAATGCTGCAGCTTTGAGCTTTGCACATGCCAGTGAAAAGGACGCTGACCAACAGAGATGAGATGCTCTCGTCTGACATAGCGCCGTTGGAGAGGGCAGCAATCCGCCCAGAATTTTGTACACCAACTTATGTACAAATTCCTGCGTTTGCAGGATTCCACCAAGCATAGGTCTGGACTTGCATCAAGATGCCAAGGTGAACAAAAACTTCGTCAGGCGCCTTATGACAAGACACCACACATTACGTGGTCTGTGTGACCTTCTAAAACTAGCATAGGTTGGCCCTCCACACTGTCATATAGCTTCAGGACGTCACCGAACAATTCGTTGTCATCCCTCAGCCAAATGCGTCACAAGTGCCCAGAACTCTTTTGACACCATTCTCTTTCAGTTTCGTGCTCATCGCTCATGGCGCACAGGCATTGCTGCCTGTATGGGTCAATGGCCACCTCATACAAACAGCTTTAGAACCAGACTTGCCTTTGAAGTGGAAAAACAGCGTGCCATATCTGAGATGCTTGCGCAGCGAAGCTGCCCGCAACCCAAAAAAGTCTCATGTAGACATTGGCCATCCTGCACTTACCCATGTGGCAATGCAGGATTGCTGAACAGCCTCTCACCCCCACCGACTCCTCGAAATTCCAGGTCCAACAGAAGAGCTCTCGCTGGCCTCTGCTCCGAATTCCTGATTGGCTGTTTGCGTACCGTACCGCCGCGAACATCTTGCAGCTGATGCTTGCTGCAGGCCTGAAGCAATGCATCTTCTACTAGTCCAGTCCTGGAGCGGGCACATTTGATCACTCCTCTTGTTCCCGCAAACGCAGTGCCACTTTGGCCCAGCCCAAGCTGTCCATCGCAAGCTCTTGGACATGGGTGCAGTCACAGCTGAACTCCTGGCAGGTGTGTTGCTACATGTAGCGAGGGATTCGCCATTTAAGGTTTGCCGTTGGGTTCATGACTTGACAAGATGTTGTTGGCTCAGCGTTTGAGTGCAAAGCTTCGCGCCCTACAGGCAGGCGCTGCATTGTTGGAATTTGTTACATCTCGCATGTCCCCGCATGTCAAAATAAGTCGAAATGGCCAACAGATCCAGGCCCAGTGGACTGTCTGGGTGAGGATCCTTGTTACTGTCGTTTCTTGTGAACCCTCGCATCGGGCGGGTTGGGATCCTCAAAGCCTTGCTTTCTCAAATGCCTTGGCCTTGGCCTCACTCAATTTGTTACATACCCTTTGTCTGGTGAACTGGTTTCCCCTTCCCCTAGCCCTTGCCCAAGGAGTGAGGGGGTTGCCTTCCGGAACTCATTTCTTGCTAGGCTAGAACTACAGAAACATGAAACAACATGATCAGGTCACGTGCTCAGTGAGCCCTCGCTGTACGCACGCACACGTGGAACCAAGATTGGAAGAAACATTGCACGCTGAATTTTTGCTCTCGGTTCCAAGGTGAAAAAAGTGAGGTTCCATTACTCGGAAATTCTTGGATCTTTCTCAAAGTTTCAAAGGCATGCCTTCGCACCCAGGATTCTGACACGTACGTTCCTTTCAAGCTGAGCTATTGTTTCTTGATTCCACAATACCGCAACTGGCTCGATGCCGCAAGGCCACTACATTCCCACCAATTGCTGTTAGCTGCCTGCCACAGCCGACTGCTAATGGGTGTCGTCACGAACATGGGGCACACAACGAGCTCAAATAATCGTACGTCACATTGGTGCCTTGTCCAGAATTCATGTTGGTGAGTGCTATCAATCACTATGGCAGGAACGTAACATACTTGTTGATGAGCATTGAACTGATCAACCGATCTCTTCACACATCACACGGGCTTCAACGGCACCATCTCCCCCAATACTCATAGATGCCATTTACCACTATCCGTGAGTGTCGCCTCTGGCTCGAACATGAGGATTTCAAGAATGGCAGAGGACTCTGTATTCAGAAGCTGAGTGCTGCATCAACCCTGTTTTTGGAAATCACGGCCCAGAATACTGAAACCTTTAATTGGCAGCCCTCAGATTCCGTAAAGCGGGGCTTAGTGGGGTTCACGTGGTTCTGGAATGCAGCAAGGAGACCAGTAACGGGGCCGGTGCTGAAGGGACTTTCTCAGGAATTACATGGCATTGTAGTGGCACTCTTTACAATACCGGCCGCCACATACATAGGTAATCCTATACAGAGTCAATAGCACCACTGAGCATCTGCTGTTCATGTTTTGCAAAGTGCAGCAGCCAGGCTGACAGCTTAAACGCACAAGGCCATCCGATTTGCAAGAGCACCTATGTCAAAGTCCTGGATGCATCTCGGACCATGCAGCTTCCAAACCTTGATCACGCTGGAACCGGCTGTAACAGCCTCATTCAGCTGGCTCTGTCCCAGGCACAAACTTGCAGTTATCATAACAGAAGCTGGGAAGTACGTCTTGCCATCTGAGGCGTTATTAAGATATTCCAAGCAAGGCACACCTTGTGCTGGCCAATCAACCGCCATTGCCTGAAAGTCTGCTGCCATTTTGAAACCACACCATGCATTCGCTCCCGAGCCTGAATGGGAGACGCTGATGCAATTTCCCATAGAAGACAGCCCGAATCCAAGGAGAACATTCGCAGATGAACATCGTCATTGACCAGGGCATGCCTCATCAAGGGATATGATGGCACTTAATACATCTCATTGCCTCGCATCGGGTTCCTGCCAACAAAGAGGAGTTCAAGCGTCCGCAGTGTGAACAAGATCAGAGAAAGTATATCATGCACTTGAGGTTTCAAAGCCTGCTGCTGACTTCTCTTTGGCAGACCGGCCCTCCAAGCAACTCTGCAGACTTTCCGACTTGATGGTTCAGTGTCAACCAGTACAGTAGCAATTTCTGCGCTTCATCGCGCGCCGCAAAGTGCACACGTGGGGAAACATTCCTTTGCCAGCCTGTTTGCCTCCATGTTTCGAATTATCTTCGACAGGAGCTCCTGCGTTCTTGCATCGTCTGATGGCATAGCTGCCTCGCACGCTTTGGCGAAAATGAATCTCGAGGTCCCACCATTACATTTGACGTCAGCAGTATGCTTCCCAGGTCGTTGGGCGCTGGGCTCTGCGTCCATAGCCGAAGACTTGACGCCGCCCAACACTCTACAGAATCCAAGCCCCCACCCCAGTTTCTTCCTCCGGAGAGCCATCCAGCCATGGTGCTCCGAGCCAGGCGATGTCCAGTCCACTGACAAAGACCTCACTCCACAGCTGCCGAAACCTGCACATGCAGTGTAGTCAGCCTGCTAGGGCATTTCAGGGTCGCAGGCTGCCTTGGATGTAACGGCCCGACGCCAGATCCCAGAGAGCGAGTGTCGCCCCATTGGTTTTTGGAAACGCGCAGCCTGTAGCTGAGATTGCAGATGTACGCTGCCTAGCCCCGTCAAAGAGAGAATCCCAAGCTGCTGGCATGAGGCAAAAGCAGCACAGCCACTCACAGCAACCTTCGCGTTCCAGTTGAACTCGACCTAAACGCGGATTACCTCCGCCTGCATGAGCCTGAGTTCTCAGGCCCCTACTGTCCTGCTGAGTCGAAAGCACATCTAAGCATTGATTGGATGGAGCCGTCAGCGAGCTCTCGAAGACACACTCCACGGTCGAGGTCCCACAGCCTGCCACGAGCAAGCCAAGATCAGAGATCACAGTTGCACTGAGGCATAGCTTGCCGACAGAATCGCAGCGGTTCAACGATTCACCAAGCCTTTTCAGACATGCGACCCAAGAAGCTCTGGCCACTGGTCCTATTCTGAAGAGTGGAGCATACGCCTTATGCTGCTGGGGCGGAATTGCCTGAGGATCGTGTCGGCGTGACCGCTTAACATGATCCGAGCGTTCCAATCCTCCAGGTTGTTGGATTGTCAGCTTCCTGCCATGAATTCTATCAGGCTCGGGGCCCTGGCTATGGACAGGCAAGTAATCGTCTCGCCGAAAGGAAGAAAACGGCAGCAGCTGCCGGTGCGCAAGTTCCAGACCAGGAAGTCCCCGTCTGAACCTCGCAGGAAGTGCTGCGAGCAGGTCACGAATCTTTTGATGCAGGCATGCATCATTTTCAGGCAACGCCGATCACTGCCGGGCAACCCCCAGTCACCGCACATGGTTGCGGTGATCGGAGAAGCGTAATCCTTGAGCTTGGATAACACTCTCTAAGCTTGATTGCCGCATTCAAGCAACTCGGTTGTGTTGCCGAATGTGCCACGGCCATGAGCCAGGTGTCTCGACGTGATGATCTCTTTGAAAAGCAGCAAGAAGGTCGGTGTCCTCGAGTACCTGGGCAGTCGCAACTCTGGAGCTCCTCCGAGCATAGCGGCCCTGAGAATTCCACCCGGCCGCCGCAGAGTAAATGCACGTCAAAGTTTGGAATGACCGAAGTTTCCTCAAGCTGACATCGCACGGCTGCCACCTCAATCAGGCTTGCTTTTGCCGTAGCGTACAAGTAATAGCAAAGTACTTTCTCTTGTGCGCGTTCTCTGGGCTCACCCAAAACGTGCTAGTTTATGTCCAGGTATAAGCTCAGGGCCGCGCTTGGCAGTCATCCTTCAAATGGAACACTCCAAGAACCTGCTTGGAAACTGCTGCTGTGATGCTTCTCTCTGAACACTCTGAGCCACGCGCCTTTGCAGCGATGTCACTCACAGTCACTTGAAGAGCAGCATCGATGCTTGGCTTATGGCCAGGAACTGCCATCAAACAATGCGCTCTGCAACCTCTACGCCATAGCCAGGGAAGCTCATTGCTAGACGCTTGCTGTTCCGTTGACTCTGCAGCTGTGGTGTCAAGCCCTTTTTCCCAAGACGTCTCGGAGCACTTGCTGCACAAAGCAATGTGAAGGTTTACTTGTAAGATCAACATTGATTTTCCCTGCTCTAGTAAGGCGCATTGCATTACAAATGGCTTTCTCGCTCAGCCTGCTGGACCAGAGTTCAACTATGCACGCGCACCTAAACATAGAGCAGGCACAGCAGCAGCAGCAATTCTTCAAGCCACTACCACTGACAAGGCTAAATTTGGCAGCATGCACATAGACACGATGCGGCTTCTACTTTACCACCCATCCTTCCTAAGATGTTGCAAGAAATCAAGGCTCCAATGCTTCTCACTGGCATGCACCCACTAAGCAAGAAAAGCCTTTTCTTGCCAGTAGGCAATTTAAGTCACAGGGCATACTCGACACAAAGAGGCTGACTCTTGCACCCTCCGCATTCAAATGAGAGCATTGGCTGCTGCTCCGCCCTCGGCTCCCTCGGCTCCACCCTCACAGCTTCAGTCGATTGGCAATTGCCTCAGCTTTGGACGTGTCGGCGTGGAGCCACGATTTGGAATCTATTCGGTGCTTTCCTAGCTCCAATACCAGCAGCGAATCAGGGTTGGGTGGCTGACTTCGTACGCCTCAGTTATTTGCTGGAACCTTAGGCGAACAGGTTGTACAAATCTGTTGCACCTAGAAGCAAGCTCTGCCGATGCCATGAAGACGATACTGTGCACGCTTCGCGTCCAAATCCAAGTCTCCAACTGTCTGGTCGCTTCCTCGATATTGTCAGGATGCTTGTCAGGATGGCAGTCTCGTGCTAGCCGGCGGTAATGCCTCCTGCGATCCCATCATTGCTGATCCGATCATGGGTTTGTGGATCAAGCGTCTCTCCTACTTATTTGCTCTGCAAGATTGCGCGTCGGCAGCATTTCACACGAAGCCAAGTAAGACCAACCCTTCTCTCTGTGATCTGTGTTGGCCGTGTCACAGGTGGAAAGGTACGAGTGCAAAGTTCTGTCTCAGCCATGCCTGATGATTTCTGGAGGCGTTGTCTCGGCCTCAACAGAGCGCTGGGACATGGTGCAGCCTACAGGTGCTCAATTGACGCCATGGCGTTGCAGCCTGTTTCTTTTTGGCAGCCTTGTCCAAGTCTGTTTTATCCGGGCTGGCAGCAGAATCGAGCTATCCCTCAATGGCAGCTGGCTGCTCTAGCAGCTGCTCGTCTCCTGGAGTTGCTCTGGAGGTTGGTGGCCGCGTGGTGTCCTTGCAGCGCCTCATGCTCTCAGCCATCTTGATCATGTTGAGCGTCTTCAACTTCACCCCTTCACCTGGCACTCCTTGATCCTGATGCCTCGCTGGTCTTCTTCCTGACCAACTGCCTGAGATGTTTGCGCACTCGCGGATTAAGCCATGGCGAGGACATCATCACCTTCGCCGCATCCCCACCTGCAACAAGCAGCTCATGTGGAAAGCAAGTAGTCAAACAGCGCATCATGCAGCCCCCCTCCTCGCTCTTCTGGATCTGGACTCAGCAGTTGCTGGCAAAGATTTCTTGCCTTCGGCAGATTCCGCCAAGGACTCTCTGTCCAGTCAATCCTGCTGACCTCGAGTGAAGGCAGACGTCTCCCATGTCTTGTAGCTGTATGACCGCCCCATGTCAAAGGTCCAGCCTTACTCTTACTGAGGTGTCAGCTGCATGGATCACGGACTTGGCAATGTCTTGTCGTGTGCCAGCATCCACTTGGTCGAGTGGTCGCCCGCGCAGCACCTCCAGGAGTAGACATCGGAAATGCATCAGCAAAGAATTCTCAAGCATCCACTAACTCGGATCACTCGTGCCTGGAAGACTGTATCATGGCAGGGGCATGCGCAGCCGATGATCTGGTAAAGCATTACTCCCACCTCAGCACCACCACAACCTATTCTATAATGCTTTCTATGTAGGATATCGCAGAATTGTGGTGCGTCCAAGTCTCGGCAAACAGGTCACCTGCTTGTGTTGATGGACCCACATACTCTTCCGGAGCCATGTAACCGGGAGTGCCGCAAATCTTGGGAGATCCCTCCGATGCAGTATCCAAATCAATAATTCGTGCGTGCGCAACCAGTTGGTGTCTGGTCCATGCCGTTTTAAATTGGGTGGGACACCTCCACCTTTGTATGGACTTCTTCACAGAAAGCCACGCCTGCGGATGTTTGGCATGCTTTGAAAGCAATGCTTGGTAGTCTTGCCAATGAAGAAGTATGTTTTCCGGCTTGATGTCACCATGGGTGAAGCCGTTCGAATGCAAGTGTGCCAGCCCTCGGAAAAGCCCTCTGAAGACGCGCTTGATCCACTGCTCCGTTGTGGAAGCATCAGACACAATCACCTGAAAAAGAGAACTTCCAGCAAAAATGACGTCAAACTCCGCATAGCGGCACATCTCGTCTTCAAGAAGCCGATCTGGTTGGACAACGTTGGGATGGTGAGGCAGATGCATAAGTTTCATTTGATTTTCAATAATTTCATCTAATTCATCCCTGCTGAATGCTGACTTGTACCAAAGTTTGACGATGCATAACCGTTTCTTGCCAGCTATTGGGGCCATCTGATCCTCACAGAAGTACACACGCCTGCCGCTTCCTTCATGTAGCAACTCGAGCATCGTGTAGTAGTCTCTGATGGTCTGCGGAGAGCGGATGCGAACAGTGCCCTCTCTGCCTTCTCTATCCATCAGCTCTGTCGGTGCTTCCTCCTCATCAGATGACTCAGAAGATGACTCTAGTATTCCACCATTTCTTTCCATCATGTGCGCAAAGGCTCTCTGCGCAGCTTCCTTTTCAGATTCAAGCATTACCTCCTCTTCCTCTTCCTCCTCCACTTCATAATGGAAAGTGTTCGTGTCAGGTGTGTTTTCCACGCCGACGTCGCCATCTCCATCAAGATCCACGCCAATCTGACGCTCCAGGAAATTGATTATCTTCACACTCGCCCTGCGGGCAGCCATCCTTCCAGCAGGCATGCCCCTAAATAAAGTGACATGGAAGCTCACAGAAGGCAACCGGCTTTTTAAGATGGGCCTGGCCCTGGCCTGAACTCAGCGTCTCTGCTGGAATTTGCTCGATCAAGCAGGGAGTCGGCGCCGCCAGCGTCTCTGGTGTGCCCAATTAACCATCGCGTCAACCCATCTGACTGTATGTTCAAGGTGCTGCTATTGTGAGCTTGGTTGCCCTCATGCCAGTCTGTGCAAAATGACGGAAGAAGTTGCGGAAAGCTGCGTTGCAGCGTCACATAACAAATCAGAGTACACGTTCACCAAAGTTGTGCCGGCAGTGCTGGGCAACAGGCTAGATCAAGGGTCTGGAAGTGCACCTTTAGGTCCGGGTACGTCCGGGGTCCTCCGGCATTTTTGTTCCAGCGTTCGTGCACGCACCCAGCAATAACCTGCAGCCCACACCTTGGGGCTTTGGAGTTGGTTTAGCCTCGTCTGTGTCAGTCGATCTTCCAAACCTGAAAGTACGAGAAGGAAAAACAACCTGGTCTAACATGCCTTCATATCTTTCATCCTGCGGATCCTGCCAGGCTGGTCTTTTGCCCCTCGGCCTGCGTTGTGTGAAGAATAGACATCTTGATCACCACGCCTTGGAGTGCTGAGGATGTAACCAAATGTCACCATTGCTCCCAAAGTACACCTTGGCAAAAGCAGAGATGTCTAATTGAGCCCTTGCACCTGGTCCCTGAGTGTGTAGCATCCAGCTCTTGGTCTGTCCACATCTCTGCTTCGGGAGGAAGGGCTGCGCAAAAGCCTGGATACCTCCCGAACCTTGCATTACTGATAGCATCGCTCACGGCAAGCTCAACACTCATTCCAGAAACTGATGAGTTCATACCTATGCTGTCAGGGTGCCATGTTTGCATCCTGGCGCTCCATCCATCTGGTGATTCTCCCTGAGACCAGGCCTGCGCAGCCTGCAGGTGCAAGTTTTTTTTTTTAATACGGCAACGTCCCTGGCATTACGTCGACAATCAAGCAGTACCAGAACGGCTCGTGTCAATATGTATACGGCTATGTAAGGTCCCATGCCTTTCCAAACCTGCAAACCTCACAGGAACACTCGCGTAGAACTGGCAGCGTGGAACCTTGGCTGGCTGCACTGTGGGGTCTGGTCTTGTGTAGTCCACCTCAGAACAGCCGCATTTTAGTGCGACAACCATGATGAAAGGCATAGTTGGGATGCTGACCCTTCTGGCCGGGCTTGGCCTAGAGGGCATCTGGGATTTTGCAGGCTGAGGCGGACTTCTCGAGGGCATTGCCTTGGACCTTAGCCAGCGCTACCCCCATCGACAGCAAGCCATGTTGAACTGCGGAAACAAAGCATTCACCAAAACATGAATGTCAGACTTCAGAGATCTTATTAGCTTCTTTGTACTCTGCAGACTTACGAGTGCAACAGCACACAGCGAGGTAGGTTGAACTGCGTAATGCTGATGGTCTCTCCACATTTGCAATTCGCTCATCCAACCTGCCCTATAGCAACATATGAACATTCTGCACATTTGCAGTTTCGCTTGCTGCAAAGTGGAAGAACGCATCCCGCTCCACGGGCTCCAGGCACACCCAAGTGTCGTGCTTTCTTTTTCCCCTTTGGGACGGCCCTAACTCCTACATCTCGGTCCATAAAAACCCTGTGAAAACAAGGCCTTGGACTGCTTCACAGGAAGGGCCGCAAAACATGACTGACATTTCCCCTTTGCCGCAACCCCCCCCCCCCACCCTTTTGCACTAGGTGAGATTGCCATCATCGACCGTGGCTTCCATAGTCGCCATAGTCGCGCGATATCGCGCGCATGCAAGCTGACTCCAGGCTGATGCGAGCAATTGCTTCATGAATCCGAGGTTGCAACTTAGCCCTGAGCGGTGCCTGTAGGCAAAGAGTGGTGCATTGTGGTGCTGGGCTGGACATGAAACTGGCCTTTGAAGCTGCCTTTGGACGGCGTGCATCAGGAAACCTCATGCAAGCACGAGAGGCCGCCCGTGTGTTCGATTTGCTGCTTTTGTGTTCTGCATCTCAACAACTTGTGCGGTAAGACCAGCGCTGGGAAGATGGCTTGGGGGTCGGACCTCAGCGGTGCACCACCGTGCTGCCTGAAGAACTTCTGTGTACGTGCCACATCCTGGCTTCCTTTTCTGCCTGAAGCTTCTGGGGCTCAATCTGTGTGGCACAGCTTGCTTCCCTGGAGTCACTGGAGGTGTTACCTTGGCTGCTCGTGGTTGGTTTCGAGGCAATCGCACCCGGTAAGTTGCTACAGCTGAGAGTCACGCTTGGCATGCCCACAAATGAATAGTTCAACACTTTCACCGAAATTCCATTTTTGGCTCGTTCATGGGATGGCGGTGACGGCGTAGAGGCGCTGAACTTTCGTTAAGAATAAACAAAACATGGCCAAAACTATGAGTCTACTGTTTGTTCCTTTTTGTGAAGTAACTTCTCCTCATGTTCCTAGGACTTTGGGCCAAATATTGCCCTAATCCAAGGTAACATGTAAAAAGGGTGTTTACAGTCTTGTTGAAAGTACGCCGTTCGAAGTTGTTTTTGCCATGTGTCGCATTCTTCGGATTTTGTTGGGCCCGAAGCCCGGAAAACTTTGAACAAAGACTTTACAAACAGGAAGCTGTAAACTTATAGTTCGTTTGCGCAAGTTTTTTTTGGGCACTTTAGCCCCTTCCGAGAAAAAACTCAAAAACAATCGGGCATACTTTGAACATCCTAACTAAACTTGAAAGCACGAACGTTGCATATCTTATTCAACCGATTTGATTGTGTTGCTCGTTTACACTTTTCAGTGCGAGAAATCAATTGCAACATGCAACTCACAGTCTAAACGAAGAATTCTTGGACCGTGTGAATACAATCAGAGTAAAAGCGCCAAGAAGCATCACACAAATCATGTTTCAATGATTTGGGCCCCAAGCTCCATGAGTGACTCAATCTTACACCCTGAAGCAACAAGCTCAGGTGGCAGCAGGCGGCCGTGGCGGGCGCGTGAGGCAAGCAACAATGTCACCTCGTGGCGGATGCGCACCAGTCAGGGGAGTCGCAAAGATTGGGCTTCCCAAGGTGCGAGCTCTTCTCCACACATCCTCGAACGTCCACCTAGCTGGACCAGGTGCTGGCACAGACACACGAAAACGCTGCTCCTTGAGGAGCCCACGCCCCGAGACCTCGCCAGCTCTAGGAGCTCCTCACCCCCCCCAACACACAAAATCACAGCTTTTGGGTAGGCGGTTCTTCGAAATGTTGGGTCCTTCGTGGAGAATCTGAGTAGCGGATTGACATCAGCCTGAGACTCCTGAGGAGCCTGAGAGCCCACGCTTTTAACCGGAGCAGCCTCTTCCGGTTGATCCGATGAGTCTGCTTTCCGAACTGGAGGAGGGGATTCCTCTTTCTTCGGTGCGCTCTTGCTCTTCTCCGGAGCTGCACCTTCTGGTTGCGCCGGAGTAGGTCCCTCTGCTGTCGTGTCCATTTCTTTGGGCGATGCTGGTACATTTTTGACCGGAGGATCTGCCTGGCATGCTCGTCAGGGCTGACCATTCAACGGCTCTCCGAGTCCGCAAGATACTTGTTTTTTTCTGTGTGGCCTCCGCTTCGTCCAGATCGTCAAAGTCAAACATGCTGCCGCCTTGTCCTGGTTTGCTAGTAAGACCGGTCCAAATGTGCTAAACAGCTGCAGACGCTCTGGGACCCGGACGACTAGCTTCCAAGCCATGATAGGGATCCTGGTCTGATTAAGCACAAGGATTTCTTGTGGTGAAGTGCACCTGAGGCAGGACAGTCCTGCGCGTCCTGTGGCGGATTTTCCTCCCTTCTGCTCAACTCATCTGCGGGAAATGCTGAGCCCTTCTGCATAGCTGACACCGGTCTCTCCGGAACAGCCTCAAAGTTTGGGTCATTTTCCTCGAGGTGGGCAGAGCTGGCAGACGCACACCCTACTTCGGGCCCATCCAATTTGCCCTCCTCGCAAAACGCCGTCTGTTGGCTCGGAAGCTCTTCTGCTCCTTCCCTGGCAGTGGATCTATCATGATGGACTGATTCGTCCTGATTTTCCTCCGCCGCTGTTCTGGGGGCATGCTGCGGTACAGCCTCTTGAAGCCCAGAACCAGCCTCTGCGTCGCTGTCGTGTCTGTCATGTTCACTCACTTTTGCTGATTGCAGTCCATCCAGTGCGTCAGAGTCCTCTCCAAACTTCATCTTGCTGGTGCTTGTGGGGAGCAGATCTGGGAAAAAATCGGTATCAGACTGTTCATCAGCACAGCTTCCATCTTCAGACCCGATATGGAACATCTCAGGCTCTTGTTTGAAGCTGTTAACTCTGGGACTCATTGGAGTGGTCTCCACTGCCATTGCCCTGCCGGCTGAGGTGGGTTGAGCGCTCTTTGCAGCATCTTCCTTCTCACCGGGAAGTGGGACAGGACTTGTTCCAGACGCAGTCAATGTTGCCGACCTAGACCTTAACAGCATCACAGGCACGACCTTTTCAATCATTCAGGCTTTGCAGAGCATAGAGGCTCTGGCACAGCCTGCTTCAGCTTGGAGATCAGGACGCCTTTGGAGTCTCCAAGACCGACCTAGGCCCCAAGAGCTGCAAGGGCGGCAGTTGCAACAGTTGCGATTGCAAGTGCTCGGGCTGTGGCCTCTACGCCTTCATCTGCACACCTTCAGCTATGGCTCTAGGTATGATCAGAACTATTCAGTCTTTGAGGCAGCTGAGCCTGGCTTCAAGCTCCGAAAGGGACAGCCGGAACAGCTCTGAGATCGATGCCTGTGGTGATCTGTGCCGATTTTTACCGCTTGGCTCGAAGCCTTTAGCTCGAAGATTCACAAAGAAGCGGACACGAGGCCGAGCAGCTGTGCAAGGCTGTGGTCCTCCTGCCTCAGGTCATTAACACCCACAACAGAGCACGATTAACTCCTGACTCCAATGCCTCTACGTTTTGTAAGCTTTGCGAGGAGGGGCTCAGCCTCGAATCCACGAAAGTTTTGGACACCCGTGATTGCGTATGGATACGAGCGTCAGGCTCCTTGGGAGCTGTTGAACCCTGCACCTTCAATGGTGTGTATGCAAACAATGTGAACGCAAAAGCATATGAAAGAAACTGGCATGGCCGCTCCAGCCTCTGTGTGCCCCTTGTCGTCCTTCATGGTTTGTACATACACGTAAGCACACTCACACGCTGTTGCGAATCAGTTTTCTCACTTCTTCTTCTTCTTCTACTGGCTTTCTCTTCTTCTTCTTCTTCTTCTATGCGCTATGCGTGTCCTGGCGAGCCAGGGCCACGCTGGGGCTAGGCCCCACGCGCCGGTTCCCTGATAACTGTACAAAATGGAAAACGAAATCTAGAAGGGCTCGGTATTCTTCATCAGCCTCCTTTTTCTTCTCCCTCCCCCCGCCCTTCTGGTCGTTGTTCCTGCACATCACGGAGCAAATAACAGCTCCCCAAGTTGCTTCCCACCTCAAGGCGAAAAATTCCCCAAGCACAGCCAAAGTATTCTTACCGACTTCACCCCTGCAACACATCTTCTCCCTTGTGAGTGGGTACTGCGAATTTTTTCATTGGATCGTTATGGGTCTCAGTACGCCAACCTCCCAGTAAGGCACTGCTTCCTGGTGGTTGGCACGCATGCCGAATTCCTACTTCCTTCTCACAAGACGTGATGTTCCATGGTTCGTATTGTCACGGTTGGATCAGTGTTTTCCAGTGTGTCTCTGTCAGGTTGCGCAAATACATGGTCATCTTTACTATCATTTCTCACACGTAGTCATGCCGAATACTTCTCCACAAAGGTTTGGATGTGGCGGTATGCCATCTGCTCCTCCATGTGGCTGCTCAGTTCCTGCAGTATTTTCTCAAGGATTTGAACTTCCACCTCATGGGGTTCTCTCTCTTCGCTTGTCCCAGTTTGAGCTCCGACTATGAGGCTCCCGACAACGCGTCGCGTGCACAGCCTTTTCAGCTGGTTCTGCAGGCTTCGTGTTCGTGTGCCACGCAGGATTCTGTTCAACCTCCCTTTCCTTCCGAGGCATCCGTGATGTTCCAGCAGCCTCTTCCTCAGTCTCGCCTTCATCTTCTCTTGTACTTTGTTGGTCTCTCGTCGGCGAGATAGGTGCTCCCACATTCCAGATGTCGTCCTCGCTGCTTTCCAATTCATCCAGTGGAGTGTCTTCCCTCCTTCCCTGCTCCACATGTCGTCAAATCCCCTTCTGCAAGTCGCTCTTCCCTTGTTAGCTGTTTTACTTGTTCGGTTGCTCGGGTGGCTCCAGCATCTGGCTTTTCTCTTCTTCTTCTATTTCTGCGGGCTAAGCTCGTCCCTACAGACGAGCCGGAGCACTGCCCTCAAGAGTCTGCGCTGCCCAGTCGGCACAAACTCTCTCTCTTGCCAATTGTCTTGCTCACATGCACCGTGGTCAGGGGCGTCATGCTGTTGAGACGGGTAACAGTCAAACACAGGTGGCTCCACGATAGAGCCCAACAAGCCTGTGCAATCTTTGGAGAAATTGAAAAGACAGGCACGGACAGGACAGAGCTGACACACCAACGCTCTCTTGAAGAAAAACCCGTGAATCTGTGGCTTTCCTGCCTGCTGGGGCTGGCAAGCGCCCGAAGGCACAGACAGATCGACAGGCCTTGGATATCTGCAGTTAGTAAAGAATCCGTGAAACCGAGGCGCTGGTGCTTCCATACATCGCAAAAACTTGGAGAAGAACTCCTTCGGAGCCGTAGATTCCTCCTGCAATTGCAACAAACAGTGCTTTCCTTTCATGCCGGACACTTTACCCCTCCCCAGAAACCAAGCCTGGATGTCCATGATGATTTCTTCTGCATCTTCCTCGGTCTCTCCGGGCACCACTTGCCCATCATTGTCCTGGCACTGATAGAGGGCAGTGCTTCTGGCAATTGCCATGACTTCAAGGCGTCCAAAGGAACACCCTTTGCCCCGCTCCTCCTACCCAGCGCACGCGCAACACCGCCACGCAACGCCCCTCCGTTCATTTCGGTTTCGGTCCACACTCCATCAACCACCTCCAGTCCCCTCCTACCCGCCCTGTCCTTGCTTGTGTACAGACCGCTAATTACTTCCTCTGCGCTACATAGCCGGGCTGAGCGGAGGCGCGCAGCTATTAGAATTCCAAGAAGCTCTTCTCAAATGCCATGATCCTCTTCGAGGATAGGATCACCCAGTGACCACGGACCGAAAGTCTTTGGCGGAGTCTTGGGCCTGCAGTCGATATCACAATGTTACGTTCAATCGTGCAAGACTCATCTTCCAACAATCTTTTTGTTCCAGCTTGTGGCTCCTCTTCTCGCGGTTCTCTTCGGTCTTGAAGGGCGACCTTTCTTGGGCGAAGTCTGAGGCAATTCAGCATTTGAAAGTGTTGGAACACCCACAGCAAGACGCTTGCCAGCTGAGCCCAATGACAGCGCAACTGGAGGTCCAGTCGGTTCCGGCAGCACTGCCTTCAATTGAACATGCTTAGCGCTAGTGCCAAACTGCTGGACGGCTCACACAAATTATCCAGACTTGCCCTGGCTTGGCTTGGCCTGCCTTGGAATCGTGTACAGTTGCGTCTCCTATTCAATATTGAGTTCTTCACTCGTGTCACGGTTGATTGAAAACATAGCTGTGCTCCTGGAAACACCTGGAAGTGCTTTGCCTCAGCGACAGTCAGTGCATCTTGAGGTTTTGCTACACTCACCTGATGGGCCCGACTGTTGCTGGTTCACAGACCTGGCGGGAAAGCTGGGATGAAGCACTGCTAGTGTTCTGAGTTCCTCTCAATTCAAACCTAGTATATTCAGTGCTGTATGTTCCCAGCGTCCAAGATACCGTAACCCGTGCTTGGCGCGTTTCGCCTCGCTTTTGCTTTGCGCAGTTTTACGGTGAAAGGCCCGTCTTATTTTGGTCACCGAAGGGCAGGAGTGAGAAGAGAGCGGCTCTTTGCCACTGAATTGTAACTTGAGTGGCTTTGCTTCTCAAGCAAGCAACTGGAAGATGCAAGGTGCAACGGCTGCGACAGAGGAAACACACATGCAGGTTGCAGCGCAAGCCGCATGCGATGCACAGTGGGGTGCTTTCGTATGCAAGACTAAACGATGATGCCGACAACAAGATGCAGGTCAACAATCCCACGCCGGCAAAAACAAAATTGAGACGTGAAGCTTGGACAGTTTGAGCGACCCTGTCAGCAAATCACATTGGCTGCAGCCCACATAATAAACAAGTGTAGACAAGTTTCCGCACAGTCGTAACGGGTTCTTGCAGAAGATGTGCAGACTGATAACATGCCGAAGCCACAACTGTTTTGTCCAGGACAGACATCAGCTTGCTGATCACCTGCAATGTCCACGGGGCACTGGAGATCGCTCCTGCCTTGGACAACTGCCTCACACTTTGCGTAGAGGCCGGATGCGTCAATGCCTTCATCGCCACGCACAGAAGTAATCCTAATCAGACTCTTATTTACTAGCACTGTTGCTCAGTCTGCGGCCCAACAGCTTGCACTCCTTTACCAGGGTCCTCATTGGTACGACCTGCAACCCACATGCAGAGCTGCTTGGTGCCTAGATCACTTCCCTGGCCCTGCCTCCAGCGAGTATCCTGGCAGCTTGGGTCTCAAGGTACAGTCACGACTGTATGGAGAAACACCAAGGGAATCATGATCATGATCCCTCTACTCCTACTTAGTAGGCCTCTGTCTTTGCTCCTGCCCAGAAAAAATGAAGCACCGCATCCTGCCTTGCACTTCCAGGCCCTCTGCGACTTCCCAGGCGCTTTGAAGCCGCTGCTGCTTGGGAACTTGCTGTAGCCTGTTACTCCTGCCTTGGTTCTTCAATTCGCTGTGCTGCTGGGGCTTCTGTTCATCGTTCTGCTCTGGCTCCCGCAGCCTTTTCTGCAGTTCTTCTCTGAACTCCTGGTGCCGAGATGCTCTAACCTCTGGGGGCTCTGGGGGCTCTGGCAGCTTTGGGGGCTCTGGGTCTTGGACTACGTTTGACTTCCCACTTGCTTCGTCATGCTTTTGTGCAACGGTGACATCTTGGCCTGGATGCTGTGCTGCATCCTTTGCTGCATCCTTTGCGCTTGGAGGGCGGTCTGCCAGAAGCTCGTCCGATTGCTGCTGCACATCCCCTGCTGCGGCAAGGTCCTGTGAGCCAGCTCGTTGGAAGTCTTCGGAGTCTGTTGTGCGTTGCGCTTCCGAACTTTGTCTCTCTTCTGGCTCCGTAGACATCTTTTGGGTTCGGTCATTCTGCAACTTGTCCCCGCCAGTCGCTGCCTGAACCAGGTTCAAACGAAGCAATTTCTGGACAGAGTTCTCTATCCGAGGTTCAGGCATTCCGTTGGGCTACCTTCAGCTTGTCAATAATGTCAGCCTGGATGGGAACATGGATGCTGCACATTCACCTCTACCTCACTCCATGGCATTGCACGTGAATGTCAATTCCTGGAACAGTTGCCTTGTCGAAGCAACCCCTCAGGTCTACACCTGCGAGGGATTGTCCACAACTTCTGGGCATGCTGTCTTTGAACACAGCGCAGGTGGAAAGATCTGCAGCCACCTAGCAGCACTCCCTCTCGACGAAGTTCGCGCATGGTCTTGGCCTTAGTTCTTCCGCTGCCAGTTGCCAGCTGTGTGAGGCAAGCAGTGTGGAGCCGGCCTGCCACGAGATATCGCACTCGCCATGATGAAACGTGTCCTGGCCCAGAGGATGCAAGATGCAAGAATTCAGAAAGGAGCGGCATTTCTGCCAAGTCACGGGTGCAAGTTGGCCCGCTTCTGTCGCAGAGGCTGCCCTACTAGATGTTGCAGCCGCCTTAATTAGTTGCATCGTGGACTAGTTCCACCAGCTGCTACTAGCAACTCCACCAGGCATAGAATCACTTGCCAGACCTGGAGCTTAGAAACAGTGAAGCTGTCTCATGGTGGGAAGACTTGCTGCATGCATGCGTCCAGGCATGCAGAGTGCCGAGTACCTCGAGATGACCAGTGGATGGTGCGGAGCGTTTGTCACTGTGACTACATTGCTTCTGTTGTTGTTGCTGCGAGCGTACTTGTTGTTTTTGTCGCCGTCCATGTTTAGACAAAAGCTGGGTTTTTGACCCGCTCTTCCTCCCAAAAAACTCATGTCCCCCACCCTCAATACTCGATCTGCTACCGCCCCTGCATGATGTCATGATGGAGGAGCTGAAAGGATGCGTTTTTTCGGGTTATGTCATCTGCTTCATCCACTGGGCGGGGCAGCTTCTGCGACAAAAGAAGCCCTTTCGGAAGCCTAGCAAACAGCAACAGTAGCGTGGCAGCACACTCCTCTGAATTTCGAAAGCGGCATGGGTACATTTCGAACACGAACGGCGAGGCAGCCTTCTGAACACGCACAATAATACCCACAATACTGTTGGGGCGGACACGAGGCAGGGCTTTCAAATAAACATTGCTTCTGTCCAAAGCATCTGGGAGGTGCTGGGGCCTCTGCAGCCCCTGACAGGTCAGCTCCCCACGTTCGGGCAACACAGTTGCCAAAACTGCGTGCGGTGCTGGCCCTAAAAGCTTTCTGGAAACTCTAGAGGTTTCTAAGAAGAAGCATCCAGCAAGTTGGTCTGAGGTTGGGGAGTTTGCAGAAGAGCTTTTGGGAGGTTTAGGAGAAGTTTGGGGAGGATAACACGGACGCCCCCTGTGTTTCAGTTAAGTTTTTAGCAGCTGTTGAGCTTCAAGAAAGCCAGAGAATCTACTGGCTTGCGGCTGCCAGCACGGTTCCGAGCAATGCCACATGCGGAAGGCATCAACATGAAGGCGGCAGTCACTGCAGACCCCCGGAAAGTCGCATTGACAGCAGTGCATCTGGGGCCAGGATTTTGGCAATGAACACTTCCAGGGCAAACGAAACTTGTTGAGAGAGCTAGCCTTTGAAAGATTCTCGAAGTCTGGAACTGCAGCCCTGTGGCCCTTGAAAGAATGCTGAGCCCTGTAAACGGGGCTTGGCAAGCATGCGTGGGCCTCAGGCCTTGCCCTGCTCCAAGCTCACAGTTGCTCTATCCTCCGATGTTTCACTCACCTGGAGGGAAGCAGACGACTCTGCCAGCATGGCGGGCCACAGCAGCGCAAGATAGGTGCTCATCATTACTGGATTACTTTGATTGAATGACAAAGTCTGCATTACTTTCTGAGAAAGAATGCTATAATACACTTTCTCATACGAGTACATGCCAAACCTCTCCAGGTAGGATGCAGGCGGCAACAAGTACTCCAACGATGCTACCGAAACGTCGTTGCAGGGTGCTTCCGTTGCTGTCATGGTCGTTGTCGTGGTCGCTGCGGTCGTCGTCATCGCCGGCGTCGACATTGTGGTGGTGGTGGTGGTGGTGGTGGTGGTGGTGGTGGTGGTGGTGGTGGTGGTGGTGGTGGTGGTCGTCGTCGTCGTCGTCGTCGTCGTCCATCTTCGCCGCCGTCGTCGTGGTGGTGGTTGTGGTCGTCAACGTTGTCGTGGTCCTCATCGAGTAGCAGCAGGAATTTGGCCTTCTCAGGTTGTTCGTTTGGCACGGGCGATGGCAGCTCGGGGGGGGCGTCCAACTGCTGGTAGATGCAGATGCCAGCCCCTTTGTGAGTGGCAGATGGAATACAGGGACCATCCAAGCATTGCATCGCACCTGTCTTCATGCGATTAGTGGCAAAATAGCGGAGATGTTCTTGTCCGGCCAGGCGATGAGGGACTGTGGTTTCGTAAAACAGCATAAGTCCGACCGTCAAACGATAGGAGAGAGCTGGGAACATATAACCTCTGGCAGCCACCAGATAGGAAATTAGCTGTTAGACTTATGAGGCTACTCCTGCCAAGTGCTGCTTGTGGAAATAGTTCGGAAAGATTACATCAAGGCTTTCGCGGCTTGGAGAGGAAGTGTCAGATGGCATGCCTGCATGAACTTTGTCTCCGTCTCTGCATCTATGTTTCTATGAGGTGTCTCCGTGAACACATGCCCAAAGTTACTGTGCCAGCGGCAATGACTTGATTGCCGAGAGACCTCATGGCTTGGGTCGCAGGTCGCTGGCGTGTGCATGGATGACCTCCAAGCGTGCTGGCTTGCTAAAACAGGGATGCGCAGGATTCAAAATGATGAGGCCACCTCTCGACTGGTCCCGCATCGTCGACTGCGCCCGAAGTCGAAGCAGCCAGCAGTCTTTCAGGGGGCAAGGACAAAAAAGACCTCTCAAGTCTGGTGGCTTCACAGCCCTACCGCCAGGCCTTTGGAGTAGGGCATCTTTCTCAAAGCAGCCCGTCAAATCAAGGCCTCTCGACCTGGGTCCAGTTATCAGTTGATTGTGCTCACATTGAACGTCTTCCTAGCTACCAAAGAAGCCAGTTTTGAGGATGAAGCAAGCACTCCTGCCGAAGCTGGCGTGCTGTCCAGGATGTCCAGTCTGCACCTACAGCTCATTTCAGCCCAAGGCGCCGCTGTACGGAGCCTGAATGACATGCCATGTACTTGCTGAGGCTTAGACGGGAGTCTGCAGGCATTACCAATTCTGTGCCGAAACAGGCTGTTCTATAAACATGGCGCTAGTCTGATAATCATGATGCTTCAACCTAGGGCTTCTTGCAAGAGGACGCATTCTGGTAAGCCCTGCTGATGTCTGATATGACACGGTTCCGGTGCTTGGAAACCTATGCGGCCTGTTGCCTGCTTGGGCCTTCTGCAGAGCGCGGCTCTTTCAAACACCGGTCGATCTCAGTCCATTTTCGAGGCATGTCCTCGCCCAATTGCAGCAGGCCTTTTTTCTAGATAGTTGCAAAGCTCACGATGTGCTGGAACCAGCACATGAGGCGAACTTCAGGAACTAAAGCGGTTAAACACATCGCTCTGAATGGCCAAGTCGGCATAGCAGGCATGAAGCCCATTGCCAATAAGTCTGCTACTTCGGAGGCTGCAGCCAGCCTCAGCTGCAATGCTGCAGACTGCTGCATGCTGGATCATACTGGCATTCCTAGTTCCTACTAACAGATGCAGCATGCGTGTTGGATTCTCTGTTCCACACATGTTATGCGTGCAATCGACTGCCACTGTAGGGTGAGGATCCGGCCCCATCCACCGGAGCCACCCCTCTGAACCTTTGAAGGTCTTGCAGCTCTTTGCGCTCCACGGCCTACTCCTCTGAAAGTTGCAATTCATGCTTGGATTTTGCTTGATGTCTGCGAGTTCGAGCCAGTATCCCTCTTTCAAGCACACCTTGCTTTTGCAAGGTGCCATATATGCAAAGTAACGGCTGACAAAATGGAAGGAAAACGAACGGGCCAGCACCTGCCAAACGATCACAAGGTGCGGAATACATCTGAAGCGGTTTGCATGCATTACATGCGGTACTGCATCCCAATCCACGCATGTTCGGAAAGGTGCTGGCATACAACAGCCGGAAGATAGCTTACAGCGCAAAGCTTCTCTGCTTCGCAGACTCAAGAGTGCAGCCAGCCGATACTCAAAAAAAACATGACATCAAGCTGATCGTCAACTTAGCTATTCGAATTTCCCAAGTCGAGCTTTGATTCGCCGCATGGGTATTTGCAGGTCTCTGATGCCCACTTTCAAACAGGAGAGTCCTAAAGCGCCTTATGAAGGCCGCCCTTTGCACATAGAGCCGGTGTTGGCACCTACATACAGTGAAGTCGATCATCTTCAAAGCCCTCAGAGTATTCTGCATATGGCAAGCTGCAGCGGCAGGAGCTAAAGAAAGACCACCTGCAGCAACCGAGCATTTCACCGACATTGCACATGACTCCAGGAAGCACATGACTTCGGGCCTGTCGAAATCAACAGTGCGTTCGTAGTCTGGTTGAGTTCGTACGAAGACGTGCTCGTCCAACCGGGACCTGCCCTGCGAGCATTTTTGTACTGTGCTCAGGCATGCGCACATCATACATTGCCAGCAACAATTCCGCTTCCGTTGAGCAGGGAACTGCCTCTGAACCCGCTGTGGTGGAAGACATGTCCGTCCCAGGTGTGTAGGCATCCTCCGGCTCCAGCATCTTTGCGCATGCCTGTGAACATATCAAGTGCTGTAATGATGCCAATTGCAGCATGCTCCCTGCTCATTTTTCTCCTGTTGCATTTCTACCTTCAAGACAGACTCTTCGTCTTGTAGCTTCCAGTCAAACTAGTTAGCCAGTCTGTTCTGCTGTTGACCTGGATGTGTTAATATGAGGGCAGCAGCTGTCAACCACAATGGCAGCGCACCTCTTCCATTTCAAGTCTTCCACTAGACCTTTGCGGGATAAGTTGTGAGGGCTTTGCCAACTGTTGAAGGAGACCCAGCCTTGTGCTGTCATCTACCTGACAGTGGCTTCTGAAGCGTCAGGGACACTCATGTCGTATCAGCTGCAGGCAATTGGCCTGGGTGTAGATCGCAGGAGCCCTGGCTTGCTCAACCAGCAAGCCGGTGGACTGCGCCGCCCGAGCTTGCACCTGATGTGCCGATTCTTCTGGCACGTCGCATGCCGTTGTGACGCTTGGTTTTATGTGCGCTGTGCCTGGGCTTTCACACTAGCCTGCACCAACTCCGCCTCGAGAAGCTTTTTTTCCTTGGGTGGGAATATGGAAGCAAAGAATCTATCTGTGCAGAGCCTTTGCAAAAGCAGCGCAAACACGTCGCATGAAAGCTTGCCTTGCCAGGCAACTGCATCAGCATGGCCAGCTGATGCAAAACAAAAAACAAGCCAGGCGTCTGCATCCGTCTCGACAGGTGGGATCATCTTCTGTGCTTCGTAAAGTAGCATGAAAGGTTCTTCTCTTTGCACATCAGCGAATGAGACCGACCTGATTTCGTCATCATCTGCCAAGTACCATTGCTCACGCTGACCTCGACCAGCTCTGACGAAAGCAAAGTAGTGGCCACCGTTTGCTCCCATGGAGCGGTACACTATCATTGCAAAGAGCAAGTAGCGCACCTTGCGCCGAGTATTGGCTGAAGAACCATCGTACTGGATTGTAAGGTCTCTGTCGACCGTCACTTGAGGAGCCCATCCTTGTTGAATTCGACTGATGTGAACCAACAGGACGTTAGGAGGTCGGGCAATTCCAGCCTGCCTTACGCAGCCGCTGGATGAGCACTTCTCACACTTCCACTCACTGATGTGCTCCTCTTGGGTAAAGCTTGACAAAAGCTCCTTCACGTCCACGACGTTTTTCCTGTCTCGTGTTCTCATTCTGTCAGTGAAGGACGGGCAGGTGACGCAGAAACAGTACTCTGCTCGGCTGTAAGAGGATTTGTCTTTGCATGTCTTGCACGTGACGGACCTGACGATCAGCATCTGTGGCCAATGAATATCAAGCTGATGGTTGTTCTGCAGACACTGGCACATTATCAAAACTGAGGTATCCGAGGTCGGGTCTGGTTCAGCATCATGCTGAAGATATGTCCTTGTGGATTGCGGTGCCGAAGCAAGACTCGCACAGCAATTAGGAAGGCAAATCAAGGCGACGCAAGCTGCATCCAGCCTATCAAGCTGCTTTGTTCAAGCTGCTCTTTCTCCGCAATGGACAGGCCTGCAGGAAAGTTTGCAGTCTGACTGTTGAGGCAAGCAACTCGTGTACTGTCGCAACAATCTGCATTCGGATCATGGTTTCAGCAAGCGACGTTTGGTCTGCTTTTCAGGGCTAACATCAATTCTGGCAGTGGGCTTGTACACTTACGTCCTCGCGCTGCAGGGCTGGCCGTCCTAGCCATGGCTTACACCTTACGCAGGCGGCACAAGCCTGGCCCGCAACATTTGAACAACAGCACGACCGCCTTTTTAAGGACGAAGCTTGTGGAGTAAACTCGTTCTTCCTAGCTGAATGCTAAAACCTAGCATCCAGATTCTAGCGCAGCGCAACTACGACAGCTTGTGTAGGAGAGCGGAAGCGCAGAACAAGCTTAAAGGTCATGACCACACTTTGGTCTACATCGGCGGAGCTTCGCCGATTTGTTTCCCTTTTTCTTTAAGGCTTCTTGAAACCGCTGAACGAGTGCGCTGCCAGTCATGCGGCTGAGCCTGAAACAAGCTTCCTGTGTGCGTTGCTATTCGCATTGCCTGTCGCCTTTGGAATTTTGAATTTTCTGCAGCAGGAATCTGGCCTCTTGCAGAGATGCAGCCCTCCAGGAGCTTCGATATGATCAGCACAAAAGCCTCATGGGCATCGGCTTGTTCGCCATGTTGAAATTCGCCTAGGTTTCTCAGCTCACGGTGCTGCAACACACTTTGAAATCAATCCAGTTGCCAAGAGCCATCAGTGTGCCACGGGACTTGCTAAGAACATCAAGGACGAAACGGTAGCATGGTCCCTCCAAGAGCATGCAGGCCTCTCTGGTTTTATAACCCCTGATATCCACGAGGCACTTTGATCCAGAAGCCAGGACCACAAAACAAGCTCCCCGAAGGATATTATGTGTGCTTGTGGGGCGGAATTCTCAAGAGGTCTCCCCGAAGCTATGAAAAAAAGCATGGTTCATTATCAGTGGTCACTGATGCCAAGAGGCCATTGGTGGATGCTGATTGCATCAATGACGCCATTCGGGTTGCCGCCACACAAGCTTTCGAGGAACGTGATGAGTCAAGTTCTTTGAAAAGATGGCGCAATGCCACGAGCCACTCGTCCTTCACCACGGCACCTTGTTCAGGACATGTATCATTGACAACGACGCAAGCCTGCAACAGCGTCTCTGAGATCCTGGCTTTCAAAAGCCAGCGAAAGGCTTCTTCGCAGCATTGGCGTATAATATAAACATTGCAAGATTGCGTTCAAAAAGCACACGTTTCGAACGTTTCGTAGGCCGACTGGTACGAGGTCGACCTCAGGCCACATCGAAGGCTGGGCCAGAAAGGTGTCCAACCAATTCTGTACCTAGCTGTGTCTGGGTGCCAGGCAGGTTCCGGAATCGAGTCATTAAGCCCATTGTTTGCTAACCAGTCCTCCGGGAAGCGCACACACTCAGCCCCAGCGCAAGCAGGATTAAACTATTCTGCCTCATGCTGGCAAGGTGGGAGACATGCTAACACGTCAGGCTTCAGATGGGAAAGTAGAATAGATTTCATCGCTTGTAACTTGAAACCATGGGTGGCCTGGGCAACAAACCATGCCGAACATGCCGCGGTCCTTGTACACTCGGCCACAGAGCGCCGTCTCACCAGGGATGACCCTCATTGCGATGATGTATTGTGCGTCTCCACTGCTGTTACAAGAAATTGCATGCGAGCAAGCTGCAAATTGCCCATGGCGGCGCATCCGTGGAGAAGGCTTACATGTGTAGCAGCAGCCAACCCCTCGTGTGACTTGAGAACCGCTTCCACCCCTATCTACACAATGACTTTACCCTGTAACATTTGGATGCGAAGCGCTGCTCTGAACCATAAAGTTGCCACCAGCGGAACCACGCAGTGGAAATACACATAGCATGCAATTCAAAAGGCAGATTGCTCTTTCGTCAGCATTCCCAGTCTGATGACCGTTTTTTGATGGATTTGGCTTGCCTGGCTCCGTGGAACCGTTTTGAAGATCTGAAAGGTTCCGGGAGTGTTTGTGATCGCTAATTTGCGTTGCTTGCATGTACAATACGAAGTGGTCAGGAAGGACAACAGGTCTGTACACACGCCATGCGGTCCATTTTGCAAACTAGAACAGCTTGCAGAAAAGTAGCTAAGGCCCCTGCGAAGCTGCTTTCTGGAACCCGTTGCTTGGGCTTTGCTTTAGGTTTTGGGTCAGGCTTCTTTGCGGCACCTTGCCACGAAGAAGAATGATGTCAACCTTCAATATCCCTTGCTGCTGCCAAAACTAAGGCTGCTTCGAACTTCTGGTTGCGGAGTTGGTGGCGGTGCGGCACCTTAGAAGTTTGCAGGCGCTTGCTTGTGCAGAGTCTACACTCTAAACCATCAGCCTGAGGTTCTTACTTCGTTCGTAGCGAACAAGGGACAAGCGGTTGCGAGCTGCCTCATGGCTTGCAACTTGAAAGCATTCTGCCCGCAGGAACAGAAGCTAGCACAAGATCAGGAGTGCCTGCAGCTTTGCCTGGATGGCGGCAGACCTTGCCTGTCGCTCCTTGCCGACAAAGCACATGAAAGTCATTCGGTGTAGATGTATGAGTGGGGGGTCAGGCCTTGTTCAATTTCAATAAAATCCATGAGCCTGAGGGGTTTTGGACATGAATCTGGTCGGGCCCGTCCCCCCCAGAGCACCTGCTCACCACTAAGATCCACGGACAAGCAAGGGAACATGTATGAAATGAAGGCTAGGTGGCCTGATGCCTGCACGAGCCTCGTGCTTGGCGACCACTAAGAACTAAGAACCACTAGTAGCCTGAGTTAGCATGGATAATCATAGATAGCATTCCATGTTCCTGATGCCTCTGACACAGCATATTGAGAATCGCATTTCCTAATAGCGCACGGACCCAACATGTGAAATATTGTGAAATGAATTCCGTGGAACCAAGGGGCCAGGCATCTGAAATGAAACGCCTATCCAAAATACATGTTAGGCCTCAGCCACCCCATGTAATTTTGGACTATCGGACCCCTGTACATATGGCAACTGGAATGATGAGAGGCTTCAGGTCAGAAACTCTCCTCGTACGAGTTTGCCCCTTCTTGCTTCTCTTCCACGAAATCGTTGAAAGGCCTTTGTGCGCTCATCCCTCCAGTCTTCCCATGCATGCTCAAGCATACAGCGTGTCCCTAGACACCAGTAAGCGATGTGGCTTCAGTGCACTCTCGGAGTTGATCGCCTCGCTGAAGTTGCAGTGAGGCCTTAGTACTCTTACAGCACTTGCGTCTCCAATGTCGCGGGGAAAAGTGCTACTTCAACGCAAATTAGACTTACAGGTCTGTCGCAGTACTTTGTACGTTTCTGACGTTGCATCCAAAGGCAAGGACCGACGTGTCTTTGCCACGTGCAGAACTTTGGCAGCAGATTGGGTAGCATCTGGAGGTAGCTCTTCCTGCCAGGCTGCGGAGATTTTGTTATTCGACAAGTCAAGCTGTGCATGTCCTCGTCACCCTCCACGTCACCCAGCCCTTCGTAATTTTGCCTGGAAGTGTCTACTGGGCTTTCTCGTGACAAAGCGTCACAGACTTTGCAACAGAAGCGCCCGCTCGCCTTACTTCAACGGCTGCTGTTGCTGCCAACTCCCTCTCTTCGTCAGCGGCCAGAACTCCCAGCCTGTCTGTCTGCACCCTTCAAGGGATGTTCAATTTCGCAGGGATTCGCAGAGGGCTCGGGCACAGTGTCCAAGTCTCCGGGTGCAGCTCCGGCCGCCCAGCCTGTAACAGGTGTCTCTAATGTGCGCCTTGGTGCAAAGGGCCACAGACCTTCACGCTGACGTCGGTCAATATCCGCAAGCACATCATCCAAACCAACAGCCTGCTTCAAAGCCAAAACGTCTGATTGCAGTATCCATGTCATTCTTCAAACACCTCCGTTGACGTCAGACGAAATACCATATCAAGGCCATGCATGGCCTCTGGCTGTCTCTGCTCTTCTTCTGGCAAGGGCCTCTGATCCACCACCTGTCGGTAGCATAGAAGTGAGCACTGAAGGCATCTGGCAAGCTCGCATCATGATCAGGCATTCTGGCCCGATAGGCCTGTAAGGGACCGTCCGAGTCAGCATCATCTGCTGCACCATCTGCACGATGATGACATGCTACAATACTAGATCACTCTTTCCCACGAGCCTTCAGCAGATTCACTGTCCTGCGCTTGGGCCGTTTTGCGGTGCGAATGTTTTTAAATGTCAGAGATATGCCAAAGATGTCGCAGATTCTGTGCAGGTAAGACCGCAACATACGGCAACACCCTAGGCTTAGCTCACACCATCTGCGCAGCCTCCTGCCTGAGTTGGCCAACATTGTGTGCGGAGTCCTCGTCTTCCGTAGGCCCCTTGACGACCTGTGGAACGCTGAAAGTTTGGAAGGAAATTGCAATTGCCGGGAGCTGGTTTCCTGCCTCAAAATTTGGCATTCCCACATCTGCCTGCCCACCAGCTGACAACCAATCCAGTCCTGAAGCCGCAAGTCTGTAACTTTGGGATACCACCGTGCTGCATGCAGCTTTCCGAGCCCAGGACTTACCCAACCACTGGGGCCCAAAGCGTAGCCTTCAAGATTCAAGACTTCCGCAGCAATACTGATGCACGTATGCTCGCGTACCTGCACCTTTTGAAGCTCCTGCATTCTGGGTCATGCGCTACCTTCTACCCGTGCTTTGGCTTGGGAGTGAACCGTTCTCTGCCATGCGCCGAATCTTCTCTGACATCTTGGCTGCCTCACCTTGGTCATTGACAACATCTGCAAGGGCAGGTCCCTCTCTAATCTTTCCCAGTCATCCGCATCTCAAAGGTGGTCTTAAATTGCAGGCTGCTCCGCATGATGTGCCGACTTTGGGAACTAGTCCCTCGATAAGGTCTTCCTTAGGTCCTGTGGAGGCATATCTGCGCACGCCCGCCTTTGGAATCTCCTGTGATGCCCCCTCCAAACCGAGCCCCTAAAACCAGTCTTCTTATCTCATTTTTCGCACCATCACCTTCCCAAAAATCTTGGAGGCCGCGGCTAGGTTCCTAGACTGCAAAACAAACAGTGCATCTGCGTTCTTCATTAGTACAACTATCACTGTTGCATCAACGGCTTCATGGAGCGGGTCTGGGGCACCGCAGCACTGAACGGGAGATGGGGCTTGCACCATGATGTAGTGCCTGAACCTCTGTGCAATGAGGATTCACCATCGTGAATGAAGAAATTACTTATGAGAAATAGCACGCATATTGCGAGCAGCACCGTCTCTTCTATGTCGAGTTGTGTGAACACATGGCGCAGCTTCTTCCGAAACTGGTTCGGAAAGCCCAAGAGTACACCCCACATGCTCGTTGGAGTAGCGCTGCCTTGAGATCTATCACCACTCAAGCAATCCGCAGGATTTGTCAATCCTTGTTGACAGATGGAAACAGTTCCTGCTTTTCTCTGGCAAGGTGAGAGATCGAGGCCATAATGTAGGCCGTGACTACAACTTATCATGGAGGAAAAAAATGGCATGAACAGCAGCGGCCGCATGGTAGTTTACAACTCAATAGCGCGCCTGGATCAAATCTGCATGACATGTATACATGTTCAGGGCCGCGCTTCGCAAACGCTCTTCCTTTCTTCGATCCTGATAGGCTGCGTCAAGATGCATCAAGTGATGCGAGCGTGGTGCTCCAAGATGCCCAAGTCCTTCTCCTCTCGGTACTTTCTTTGCGCCTCCTTGCAACATCTCAGGTTGGGAATGCAAATGTCAATGTTCCACTTTCAGTGCGGCAGACCTCCCTTTGCTTCTTGCGTTTCGATAGCTGCTTCCTAAAGTACAGCAGGGTTCAATGGAGCAAGCAATCACAAGCAAAGGGGGTTCTTTGAGGTGACTCGAAAGCTTCCGGAATGCGTGCTAAAGCTAGCAACTAGCTGATGTCTGAGGCCTCTGCTCAACTAATCGTCGCGTCTTTTCTTCCAAGGCCGTTGCATGACCTTGAACTCAACAGGCAAGATGATCTGTCAGCATTATAGCTTTCATATCTAGGCATGAGCTGCTCATGCTTCGCAAGGGTGGACGAGGCCAACACGGTTTGCCCTCCGCCGACGCTCCTTCCAAACAGTCAAGCTGTTGAAGGGACTGGCATGCCCTGTGCATGCGGCACCTGTACTGATACAGAACTACAAATGCATACGAATGTGTTTTCTGAAGACCGATTGAAATGGTTTGGATACCAAGAAGCTGACAAATTAGCTGATTCCAGAGCTTAGGAGATGAGCGGGCCTATGGGCATTAGGGGTGATGTTCTTCAATGGGTTGATCAGCGCACGGCTGACGTGTTAGCTTACGGCGAGATGCTCTTGGTCTTTGATCAAGCTGAAGTGCAGTGAACCCATAAGCACTGTGCACCGAAAGTTTCACATGCAATGTCCTTGTCCGGGAGGGAGGCTTCAGGCCCAGAGGCTCAACGAGTTAGGGGTGCACCGCAGTCATCAAGTTGACGTGCGTCCCGGAGGGATCAAGTGTGCCCCAGAAGGGATGGGCCGAAGGAGGGCAGACGCCGGTGGTGAGCTCAGGGTTGGGTTTGTTTTGCTTTTGGAAAAAATTGTTTTCCGCAGCTATGGCAGCTGTAAGACTTCATGCTGCTCTATGGCTTGCTCCGGTCAGAACAGCAATTCTGCAAATATGACACGTAGCGAACTCGGATTAACTTGCAGAAGCACGTTGCAAAGAGCTCCTTTCCTGATAAGGACTTTTGTTCTGGCAAAACTACGGGTACTGATGCGCTGCTCCGGCGGGGCACCGGTCCACTTTCTGCCCGTGGAGCTTTGTTTGCAGTTGGTATAGCAAGGAATTAGCTCGCTTGACACTGGTGGCGCTGACGAAGCGGGACTCGATGGAACTCCACTGCGGCACCTAATCCAACGCCCTTCGTGAGCTGATATGCTTTGGCCAGGCGTTCCTCCAGCTTAGAAACAAGCAAACCGAAACGTTATTAGTTAATGAGTCATTTGGACAGAGGCAAAGATCTTTGTACGTATCCCCAGTCTCTGCCTCTACTTTCAACCATTTTCTGCTTCTGTGGGTCTTCTCTGCTGAGCCACACAATATGATTGAGAGCCCTACAGCATCACTCAGAATGCACGCTTGCAAGCGGAAGGAAACCGAACTGTGTTGGTAGCTTGCATGCATGTTGTCGAACTGTGCTGCTAATCTAGTTTGTGGGTGCAGGCTAGATACTTTAGCTTATGCCTGGCTACAGGGTGCCGCGTGACCAGGTTGTCTGTCTGTTTGATCCCAGCACCACCTCAGACTCTTCAGCAGCCATACGATGCCGCTCCCACCTTAGAATTCGCAGACGTGAAAAAGGAACACTGGCATTCGTTGGCATTTGGGTTCGCTGCGCTTCTCGGGCGGCTTCCGCTCTCCGGACCTCTTCCTGGCTGCACGCTGCTACAATTCGGCTTCCTTTGATCTGGTAAGTGGTCAAAGTTGTGGTGCTTTTTGGGTTCCTAGTGTGACACACTAGCTGATACTTGGAGTGCCCATAAAGAGAACCATAGTTTTGACTCTTGACTTGACAACCTCCCTCATCTTGTTGAAGGGAACCTCCGCGGCTTTTTGCGCGGCCTCGTGCTTGGCTTGCCTATGCCAGCACCATGTCTTTTCGGAAGGTTAAAAGCCCATGCGAGGCATGCTCGGAGCAGCCTCTGCCTCTCCTCAAAAGCAGCAGCTTCAGCCTGCACAAGAACCGGGCTGCTTTGAAAATCTTACTCCTGGAATGGTTGAAAAAAGGCTGCCTGATGTCTGAAGCTTGAATTCAGCCTAGTGCTACTGGGCACGCCCCTACTGGAACTGGTGAATTTGCAGAATTTGTCGATTATGGAGCTTGTGTGCAGTTCCCTTGTAAACACAGACGGCCCAAGCACAATTCCTGACACTCATCCATCCCTTCAAGATATGATCAACCCAGATTGAACCAAAATATCTCTAGCACTGGCCTAGCGCTTTCCCAGCGCGTGATGGGTGATTCATTGGACTACCCTGCTTGCCACCTCATGTCGCAGACCAAACACCAAAAGCTATCCATTTTTTCCCACTCATCCTGTTGTATTCGGTGTTCTTGACTAACAGATACGGGTATTCCGGACAAAGTGGCTCACGCTTCTTTGGCCGCCATGCCGCAAGGTTGCGCTGAAGACCAGTATGCCCGCCTGTGCCTTCTGACGTTCGGTATCCATTACATCCACATCCAGTTGCGACAGCAACTCCTCGTCCAAGAGTTTGCATGCCAACAAGTATGCACAAGCTGTTCTGGGGTGCTGGCAGAAAAGCGTGGCAAAGTTTCAGGCTCCTGAGGACAGGGTGTCTGCCAAGAACAAATGCTTGCCAGCTACTAACTACTTGTACCGGTCAGTGGCAACATTCCTTGCGGTCATGCGATGGATTTATTGCCAAACTCCAACAGTCCTACTCGGGAGGGCGTACAACCCCTGAAGCCTCTCTGGCCGTGCCCGGAAATGGAGGATGGTGGTACCCCCCTTTTGACAAACCTTCGTCACGGACCGTGGTGGTTGGAACCGCCCCTCTTTTTACAAACCTTCCTCACGGACCGTGGTGTTGGAACCACCCCCTTTTTTACAAACCTTCGTCACGGACCCG